GATTTTTAAAGAGATGAATAATATTTAACGTTTATAACCGATGTATTGTGGATAAGTATAATTTTTTTAAAGAATTAAAAAAACGAACCCGGCAATTCAATCGAACTCAACCTAGAAATAGATAGCTGGGTTGGGTTGAGCCGTGACTCCTATTTACATTGTTCAAGTCACCAACTAAAATCAACCCGACTCCAAAAAAAGTTTTCAACCCAACCGGTGTGCCAAGTGTCATTTTTGTTATAATATTTTTATCAAATAATTTAAATTAAACTAAATAACTTGCCATTTAAATCATGTAAAATTTTAGATAAACTTAAGATATTAATATAAAACAATTTGAAAAAAAAAAATGAATAAAAAATATTCACTCGAGTCTCTAAAATAATAAAATGGAATTCTTCTAATATTATTAAGTTGTAATGAGTTTGTCTTGGCTCGTGTTTCCACTTATACTCGCTTAAAAAATAAGCTCGAAAAATGACGGGTCAATTGCCGGAGGAGAGTTCCGTACTAGGTCGGAGTGTTGGTACCTTTAGGACTGACAACTCTCGACTCCTAAAGATAAATTAATAAATGCCCTTCAAATGGGTGTTAAGTCCAACCTAATCGTTCGTTTGGTTCAGATTATTGAATTTATTTATTTCAATTCTTATATTTTAAAATGATTGTTCGTAAATATTTATTTATTTATTTTTCAATTTAAATATATAAAATATTTGAAAAACTCCCAACAATAAAAAAGAATAAAAAAAATTAGTTAAATATATAATCGTACCAACGACCTATAAAATTTTTATTTATTATCCGACTCTATTCGAATAAGTTCATAACTCAATCTAATTCTTACGAATTAAATTAGATGGATTAAATTTTTCGAGTCGCCGAATTTATAATTTATCAAATAATAAAAAAGAAAAAAAAAAGTTATGGAAGTGTATGAAATATAATAAAAGGAGATGCAGGTGGGGCAGGATGCTGAAATGGCAGAAATTGATTGGGTATGATGAAGAGAGGCCAATGCTTCTGCGTTTATGTTGGTGGTGAGAAAAGAGGGTGAAAGTGAAGAAATGGTTTCGTAAATTTTGTTTCCTTCTGTATTTGTTTTTTTTTTTTTTTTTTTTTTCTTTTCTTTTATTGACTTAACCAAAACGTTTCCCAATTTTTCTTCGCAACCAAACGCACTCACAGCGGCGAAGAACCAACGGGAACGCCTAATTTTTTCCCTTTTCTTTTTGAATCGAATCGGGCTGTGAGATGAGGAAAACAGGAGGAACCGACAAGAAGAGGGTCAGAAGGCAATCAACTGCTGTTCAAAATGCTGCCAAAGATCCCAATTCCGATACTCCTCCTAGGGTTTGCCTTCGTTTTCCTTCTAACGTCTTCATTTTGCTCTCTAATTTTGTTTTCTGATCTGGGTTTTTGTTGCCTTAAAGAGGGAACCAACGATCGCTTCTGTATGATTTTTTGTTTGATGGCGCATCCTTGCCCCAAATGCGTCTTTCTTTGATGTGATTTTGGACATGTTTTGTGAATTGTTCTTTTGGGTTCTTATATTTTTGTGCTTTTGCGAGAAATGATTGGTGGATGTTAAGTTTGCGTTATTTGTCATTTGTGATTTTGAGTTCCTTAATGCTGAAATGTGTGGCGTGTGGCTGGAGGAACGATTGACTCTGGCACCCATTTGCGAGAACGTGCTTGCGAATATTCATTGTGCTTTCTTGTTCAAGAAAGAGAAAAGGAGTGATTGATTTGCATGCATTATAAATGGGATTCTTTGTAGTTCTTAGTTCTGTAGCTTTGTAGTGTAGGCAAGAAGGGCAACTAGAAGTTGAAATTGTAAAAGTAAAAGAGTCTGGGCCTCAATTCATCAGATTTGCTTTCACCTAGACGCTAATTGTTGTTTTGTGGTTGGAGTTTAGATGAGCATAACTTGTGAGGTTCCATCAATTGCAATTTAAGAGTAGTTTTAAGGTTTTAGTTATGAGAAATGAATTGTTATTTGATTTGATAGTGCTGAATCCATTAGACGCCATTATTTCTTTGCAATGAATGTTCTTAGCTTCTTTAGATCGACGAAAAACATCTTGAATGACAGTGTGATGGTTATCAAGAAGAGTGAGAAGGTGATTGTGAGATCCCGTGTTAGTTAGGGAGGAGAACGAAACATTCTTTATAAGGGTGTGGAAACCTCTCATTAGCAGATGCGTTCTAAAACCATGAGGCTGACGGTGATAAGTAACAGGTCAAAGCGGACAATATATCCTAGCGGTGGACTTGGGTTGTTACAAATGGTATTAAAGCTAGACACTGGGTGATGTGTCAGCAAGGAGGCTGAGCCTCGAAAGGGGGTGGACACGAGGCGGTGTGCCAGGAAGGATGTTGGACCTTGAAGGGGGGTGGATTGGAGGTCCCACATCGATTGGAGAAGGAAACGAGTGCCAACGAGGACGCTAGGTCCTAGAGGGGGTGGATTGTGAGATCCCACGTCAGTTGGGGAGGAGAATGAAACATTCTTATAAGGGGGTGGAAACCTCTCGTTAGCATACGCGTTTTAGAACCGTGAGATTAGCTGTTCTTTTGTTATTATAGGTAGTTTTGTGTTTGTATGCTCACCAGTTTCTTTTTTTCGTTTTTTAAATTACGACTTCAAATTTGTTTATTTCATTTTGGTTTTCTTGGCAATCACGAACTATATGTACTTTTAATCTTCAGAAACAAGCTGCAAAGAAGGACGTATTTCAGTTGTTTGCTGAGAAGGTGAGAGACCACAAGGATTTAGAATCAAGGTGGGCCGTTTTACAAGAGACGCGTGTTGAGTATTTCAGAGGCAAGGATTTTGGTAGTTTTTTGAGAAATCATCCAGAGGTGAAGGAAGTTCTTGATTCAGATAAGAATTTGGAAACTGAAGATATTGGCAATGCATTGCTAAGTAAGAATCTCTTAGTTCGATGTGACCGTGTGGTGAAAACTGTTCGTCCCGGGAAGCGAAAATTGTCTACATGGCCAGCGCATTTGGAGATATTTCTGGTGTGTCTTTTAATGCATAACGTTTTTCTTTTAAAGTTGGAGACTTCCAATATACTCGATATTAATATATGCTTCTTTTTAAGAAACAAATCTGTTGAATTGTGAACACATTTGTACCGAACATATTCTCGGACCATCTTCTGAGGTTTTGAACATGCAACTTACTCTTGCAGGATCAGGTGTTCTCTGAACAGGATGCCTTTTTTGCTTGGACATTTGTTAAGCGGCGACCATTTTGGCAGACACTTCTTTCATTTTGTTGGCCTGTGTTGACTCTTGCAATATGCTTGTTTCCTGTATATCCTCATCAGTGCAAGCTTTTGATACTCTACTCGTGCGCCGGGGTTCTGCTTCTTATACTCTCGCTTCTTTTATGTAGGTCATACAGCACTTTTCATTGGTTTATTTTTGTATTGTGCTTCATTTGCATTCATTTACTATAAATCATTTTGGGAGTGCAGCATGAGGTATCATGGTAGGAGGATTTCACAAAGTTCTTAGATGTTTCATGCTTATTGGCTATGTTCGATCTACCTATTTTTTATATTTTATCATATTTTGAGTATTCGAGTTGTTCCTACGTAGCTTGAGCCTGAGCAATTCCATGTCTTGGATTGAGCAAGTTGTTGGAACTGCATTAGCCTTTACTATCAGTGTATGGTTTTTATCAAGTATGGTTTAGAATCTCAAAGTGCCTATGTTGCATTTTATGGGCAGGATTCTTTCTTCCAGGTCCATTGTTACATGTTTTCATTTAATTTTGCAGTGAGGGGAGCAGTATTTGGCATTTTGTATATTCTTGTTGGCAAGCGCATGTGGTTTTTCCCCAATATTCTCGCCGAGGAAGCAACTTTGCGAGAATTGTTCCGTTTTTGGCCGAGTAAAGATGAAGAAGAGAAACCGAAATGGACAACCAGACTTTTCTATGCACTGGTGGCTGTACTGATCATACTACTGATGAGGCATCATGCTCCCGATGAGGCTGCCCGAGCAAGGTTAGTGCCATACCTTTCTAAACTTTGATACCACTAAAGATTGGTTAGAGAAGTCTATATATCATAATTGGTAACTATCCATAGAAAAGTCTTTACTTCCGGTGTATGGTTTTGTATAGCGGGTTTATGGTATGATGGTAACGATGTTGTGAGGCCCTGTCCAACGTAGAAGATCGAAGAAACACACGACTTGAGCATCTGCTCCATTTCATTTCCCATTTTATGAAATATAAATATATGAACAGCAAATACTTTGTGTTTGGTCATGAACTTCGTTCACGCTTGCAGATATCAGAAGCGTGTATCGAATATCATTGATGATGTTCTCGAATGGTCTCCAAGACTTGCTCTTTCTGGGATGATGGAGAAGCAGCAAACAGTGGTCAATGCCACAAATCCGAACCCCGACGTGGCGGAGAACCAAACAGGTGATAGTACAGGTCCAGATGCTATCCCCGACCAACCTGAGGCTGAAATTATCGACAACATAGAGCATTCTGATCATTATAATCACGATGGAGATCATACACATCAATAGGTTTGTTCAATCTTTTGTGGAAGAGAACCATGATAAATGTGTTCCTATATGAGCTTTGTTTTAATTTTGATTGTTTAAACAGTTTGGTTTTGTTACTTATATCCTTTTTTAGGAGTCACAGAAGTTGGTTTATATCCAAACTAAAGTGAGCTTTTCTACTGAATTCTTCCTGATTTATACCACAAGTCATCTGTGACATGTACATGTAAACTTTTCTTTAAAACGCTTCTAGTCAGTCATCTCTACTTCTTTTTTTGTGGCAAATGCTCAGGCAATGAATTTCACCTACATTAGTGGTTGCTTTCACCTCCCAATTTTCGTCGTAGATTTCTCGTTCCTCTCCGAGTCTCTACAGTTCCCTTTGACTCACAGGGGATCTTTTTGTTGAGACGTCGTATAATGGCTATCAAAGTAAGCCTTTTAAAAAAAACGTTCAGAAATCTAAAGTCTATCCAGAGTAAGCTTCAATCACAATATATATCCATCCTAAGCCTTATGATTCATTTAGTTTCACTCTATGCACTTAAGTCATCATAAACTCTGTACAATGGAAAAACAAAAAGAAAGAGAGAATGGAATGAAGAAATCCATAGACTTCAAAGAATCCTCTGAAGCCATGAGACTCTGCAAGTTGGATATCATTCCACATTCTCTGAGAACAGAACAAAGCCAAGAATGATTTGCCGCCTAGCGCGCTTGCCAGGGATGCAGTACTTACTTCTACAGCCAAGTGATCGAGCCCCATCACGGATTTTGATTGGCGTCTTGGCATTCACCTCCAGTAGCTGGTGCAGGTTGCTACTCAGAGGCCATGTTCGTCAAGGAGCTTCCATTCTGCTGTTTAGAACCGTCATTCAGATGGCGACCATTCTCATTTACTTCATCAGAATGCATCTCCTTTCCATCAGCTTCGTTTTTCTTGGTGAAACGCCCTCCGCTACCCCTTGTCCTTCTTATGGCATGCTGGTGTCTAGACTCATGAAGATATGGCTGTTGAATAAGAAAAGTGAGCAGCATAGCCAAAAATTGAATTCTTGTGTATATTCTAAGCTGAGTTCGAGTGATAGTGAGAGTATCTATAGCATGCTTAACCATCAATATTGTCTATTCAGAGCATATAAATCTTAATTTGATGAGTTGTTTAAAAGATTGATCATTATCAAAAAGATACGAAATCCACCTTTCTGGCTTTTATCGACTTCTTCTCAGCCTCGGCTTTTGCACGCGCTTGCCTTCTCCTCAAAATTCCTTGGTACTGCTTCGCATTCACCAATACGGGGTCTTGTGCTATCTCAATGGGCAATGGCATTCTAGCATGTGGCATTCCGACCGTAGGATAGCCCTGTATATGAGAAATATTTGAACTTACTACCTAAGCATGAGATTTTTGTCATTAAAGTCTTGTACAATGAAAATGTCAGCTCTCTGTGTATTCTGAAGCTCTATTGGGCACAATAAATTATCACATATAATCAATTTTCTTCTAGGGTTATACAAAAAAAAAAAACCTTCATTAAAAATTTAGAAGATTGAAGAAGAACAGTGTTAAAATCCCTGCAGACAAACTACACTGTGAGTAACAAGATTTGATGAGAAAATGTAATTTGAGAAGCATTGTTCTTCGAGCCATTCACGATGGGAGAGTATTACATGTAAAAATACAGGTCCTACTTCAAATCATCAGCATTAACCACTCAACAGTCAGCATAATATTTCATGAACTGTCCACGAAATCGACCCCAGAACCAGAAGTAAAAGCAAAATTTAAACAGATGTATGACAACAAACCAATTGAGTTTGGCAGGTTTGAATGCACAAACACAACTTTTCATGTAGGTGGAGCATGATCCTTTTTGAAACGGCCCAAGACTACCGCTAGCAGATATTGTCCTCTTTAAGTTTGCCCTTTCGAAATTCCCCCTCAAGGTGTCTACTAGGAAGAGGTTTTCACACCCTTATAAGAAATTTTTCGTTCTCCTCTCCAACCAACGTGGGATCTTACAATCCACTCCTCTCAGGAGCCTAGCGTCCTCATTGGTACACGGCCTGATGTCTGGCTCTGATACCATTTGTAATAGTCAAACCCACTGCTAGCAAATATTGTTCTTTTTGGGCTTGCCCTTTCAAGATTTCACTTAAGATTTTAAAATGCGTCTACTAAGAAGAGGTTTTTACACTCTTATAAGGAATGTTTCCTTCACCTCTCCAACCAAGGTGAGATCTCACACTTTTGTTCTCAGATTTGAAGTTCCATCTCTTAAGAGGGTCAAAAGCATGTTCTGTGTCCTTTGGATTTTGATTTCAACAGCTATGGCAGATGAGCACAGCCAAGTAATGGAAAAGAATATAAAACAGTGAAACCACTCACTCGTTTGTACGAAATTTGAGTTAATAACATACCAAAGGCTGATGGCCATAAAAAGCCATCATTCCTCCATAAGATGGATCCTGATATGGATTTGACGCACATGCCTGCAATAGTACCACAAAAGACACAGGAAATTCTTCAGTCATGTAATTATAAAACATAACTTGACCAATTTTTTAATGGAATCTTTAATTTTGGGACTAAAAGCTCGAAAATTGTTAGAACAACATAAAGCATTTTCTAAGATTGGACAGCAATGGAACATACAATAGAGTGGCCTACAAGTTCGAGTTGTGTCGACTGCATCAGACATTCACCATGCATTACTGGAAAAGTAGATGAAACATGCTGCATCTTCTGAGCAGCCTGTCTGTAATTTCCAGCTGAAATTAGAAGATGCAATTGTTATAAGGGCATATTTGGTGGTTGTTTTGAAAAAAAAAACACACAACGGCCACTCTCTTCCTGTATTTATTTCTTCTTAAAATAGTTTCAAAAAATGATCCAGACAGAGTAAACTTTTGAGTCCTAAAGCAAGCCTCCAATTTTATAATAACACCTCTAAAGAAGATTCAATATTGTCAGGCACAAAACAGAAAAGCTAAAAGACTGTTCAGTACTTTAATGGTTAAGGAGTAATGATGTACCAGAATGTGGAGATCCAGTAGCTTGAACTTCTTTGGAAACATCTTCTTCATCATTGACGTCATTATTAGACACCGACTGGCCATCGTTCGACTCTGAACCACCATTAGGGAATTCAAGAGAAGTTGAACTGGAAGAATTTCCCCCTACCACAGGTAGCGGAATAGGATTGTATCCAATACCACGCCACCAGGGTTCATAATAGATACTCGTGGATGGAGTACCATTTGGATCAGATTCAAACTGATTATTGGTTTCGGATTTCGACTGCATGCCTTCAAACCCTTTGAAAAACAAAAGAGCCTCGAGTTCTTAATAACCAGAGTGAAATTTTTTTGATAACCAATAATTCAAGAAAGCATCCTTTCCTATTTCCAGTTAGAATTTAAGTATTATTCCTTATCAATTGGAATCTAATCTCATCACAACAGGAAGTTGAAAGCTAACATAGGTAGTTAGGGAGCTCCTAGACTCATTCAATCTCTTTCTTTAGGAAAAATTCCTCTTGTCCCTCCAAGTTCACAAGGGCAAGGAGTAAAAAGTAACTGCAGGAGGCGTAAAAGAACGTTTCAAACGGTGTTCTTCATGATTCAATCCTGTACTGTCACATCCTTCCAATATCTTTTGACAAAAACATAAAGGAAAAATGCTTTTCATGATTCAGTCCAGTGAAATCACATCTTTTCAGTACCTTTTGACTAAACTGTGTTCAACATCCCTTTTGTTTTATGCAATATGTGACTCAGTTTAGTTTTCCTGGACGGCTACACTCTCCCATATGTGACTCAGTTGAAATTTAGGGATTAATGTTCCAAAAATTGATTTAATGATGTAGGGCACCAAGTTGTAGCAACAAAAAGGCATAAAAAGAATACAAAAATGCAGTCAACAAAATACAATCAACATATCATATCGAAATCTAACTAGGATTTGCTCCAAATGCATTTGGTCCCACCAACAAAAGCAAATCAAACAAAGCTAAACTAGAAACTATCCGAAGTTAAAACTTGAATTAATCGACAAAACCAATAAGACTAACGTAGATCCCGTTTTCACAATCAGTTGAACCAAATGAACCAACAAGTAAAACCTGAAAGTTGCATACCCAAACAGTTCGTTTCCAACATCCTAATCTCCTCCTAAGATCCAACAAAACATAGAACCAGCTCATACAAACTTGGTACATATTAATTTTAAAATAACAAAGAAGAACAAATCTCAGGTAATTACACTTAAGTACTGATCCCCTTTCATATAGCGTTTAGGTTTCTTTCAAAAAAAGTAGTAACTAAGTACATAACAACTATTTTCCACGCACTAAATTCCCATCAACAGCAAATCAAAATTCGTAAGCTAAACTCTCAATTATTCAACCATCCGATGCAAAAGTGACCTAGGAAGAATCAAGAAACATAAATTTTCAGTTCCTTTATTAATCATCATCTTCAAAATGCTTTATCCAGTTTCAAAGCTGTTACAAAATCTGACACATGATTACCACACAAAAAAAGAATACCCAAAAGAAAAACAGGAATTCTCATCGATTACACATCAATCATCGCCTCCAATTCCCCCAACAATCGCAGCATCAAACCAAATCCCAAAACAATCGATCACCCACAAACCCAAAACCCAAAAGAAGATTTAAAAACAAAAAAACAAAAAAAGAGCCCTAAAACAGTGAATTGCGCGAATACCCTAGAAATCAAAATCTAGATAAACAGCCATAGAAATCCAAAAGAAAAATTGCTTACCGATGGGAATTGGAGCAACGTCGAAATGGAGAAAAGAAGAAAATCAGATAGGATCGAAGAGAAAATAGAGAGAATTGTCTGTAATAAAACGAAAAACAGAGAGTAGAAATTAATCCCTTAAGAGGATGAATTGAAAAACTCTGAATTTCCAAAAATGAAAAAATTTCAGCAGCTAAGCCTAGGACTCTGTTTCGACTTTGAAGGTATTTAAATCACAAAGCTATGGATATGATAATTTCACCTACTGTGGGACCTACCAAACCTCTTTCGCCCCTCTCCCTCTGACACGTGGATGCATCCCCTACTCTCCTCCTTTTATTTATTTACTTATTATTATTTTTTGTACCAGCGGAATCTTTCATTTTTTCTTTTTTTTTTAAAAAAATATATATATATTTTTTAATGATTGTTATTCATAATTTTATGTATTATATATAAATTTTAAAATTTAGAAAACTATTCAAATTTAAAATTTTATGATTTTTAGAAATTACTTTAAAATAATTTAAATTTTTATATATAATGGGTTATATGTAAATTAAACCATAAAATATTAATATAACAAAATTTAGATTTAATTAAATTTAACAGCATTTTTTTTATCTGAAATTCTATAGGTTTAAGTTTGCAAAATTTTATTATTAAATGTACTTATTTATTTTTTTAATTTCAAAATATTTATTATTATTGATATAATTTATTGAGATTACTTAATTATAAATCCCTTATTAAAATTTAAAATTTAACAAAATTGAAAATTTGCCCAATTATGAGGCTAAAATTATTTTTTTTTATTAAAACTTATATTAGGATATTATTTAATAAGACATTTTAGTTAATTAAAAATATGAATTTAAAAGTTGAGACGGATTAACTCGAAATAAATAAATAAATAAAGCGTTGTGATGGGTGACGGTAATTGTATCAATCCCAAAGAGAGATCGGAACCCACGTCATGCGGTGTTGACTAAAGAAATTCTTCCAATACGTGGCACAAAAAGCGTGGACCACTTCACCAAAGAACTGAACAACACCACTAGCCACGTGTCCTTTACTTTATAATAATTTCCATTTTATTATATTTATTATTTAGTTTTAAATAATCATTTCTTTAGTACTCAAATTTTTCTAACGTTTATTATTATTATTATTATTATTATTATTATTATTATTATTTCAACGTTGATTTAAATTTAAAAAAAAGGCTCTATGTGGGGTCTAGAGTTATGTATTTTGGGTCGCCCTAGCTCGACGATGAAAGTAACCGACCCCAATCGTGATTAGAAAAGCAGTGAGTGCAAAATTTAGTGTGAGTCGTGGTCTTAATTGTTGGATGAAAATCCACACTAGTTTAAAAAATGATCATGAGTTTATAATCAAATAATATTATTTCTATTAGTATCAGACATTTTGGGGAAGCCCAAAGCAAAGTCATAAGAGCTTGTGCGAACAATATCATACTATTGTAGAGAGTCATGTTCAACTAACATGGTATTTGAGTCATGCCCCTAAAACTTAGTCATGCCAATAGAATTCTCAAATATCAAACAAAAGTATTGTGAGCCTCGAAAACATAGTCATGAGAGCTTATGTTCAAAATGGACAATAATAGCATACAATTGTAGAGAGTCGTGTTCAACTAACATTAAAGACTATGTCTCGGTTCATTCATTCTTCTATACTTAACTCAAGCGTCATAATTTTATGATTGGATGGAAAATGACGATTCTAAATATTCTAGATCGAGATAAATATGATAAAATATTTTTTATTTTTACCTCGGAAAGTTATAAATTAAAATAGTTAAAAGAATAGTCAAAAAAATAATTTGAGAGAAAAAGTGTATGGTTTATTTTTTGGAATTTTATTAAAAGTTATTTTCAAACCTTTTTTTTTATTTATAATAAATAAAACAAAAAGCTACTAACTAAACAATCTTATCCTTTTAATGGAATTGTCAAGGAAATTGGCGGTAGCAAGTTTTAAAATTAAAGTTATCTTTATAATTTGTCTTTTTTTTTAAAAAAAAAAAATATATTATTTCAATAAATATGAAGTAAATCATTAATGAATTTATTTAAAATATTATTACAAACCTATGATAGAAACCCGAGCCTTCAGTAGGAGTTATAAATATTTTAACCACTGAGTTATCTTCGGTGAGTAGCAATGTATGTGTTGGATGATGAAAGTTCCACATCGGCTAATTTAAGGAATGATCATGGATTTATAAATGAGGATTACTAACTCCATTGATATGAAGCCTTTTGGGAAGCCTAAAGTAAAGGCATGAGAGCTTATGCTCAAAGTGGACAATATCATACCATTGTGGAGAGTCGTGTTTGTCTAACATTGGTATTAAAGTCATGCCCTAAACTTAGCCGTGCCAATAAATTGGCAAATCCTCGAATGTCGAACAAAGGACTCCAAATGGTTCAGACAGGCAGGACACGAAGACAACCCTATCGAGTTTTTCTTCCTTTAAGTAAAGCTTTGGATCCTCCCTTTGCTTCTTTTAATACAAAACTTTTTAACCACCGCCACTAACTCACCACCTCACACCTCCCCTCCTTTCCCACCCACAAAATTAATTAATTAATTAAAAAACTCCAAATTCTTTTTTTAATTAAAATATAAAAATATAATTTTAAAAAATATATATTAAAATTGAATTACAAAATTTAATTAAATATTTTAAAAAACAAACGTTTTACTTAAATTAATGACTTAAATAATCTAAACTATTCCAATCCAAAAAATGTGATAAGTTCGGGTGAGTTTATTATTTAATAAAAATTGCTTGAATTTAAATATTTACAACCCGAACAATCGGTTCGATTTAAAAAATGTCTAAACTCGACCCAACTCAATTGTTTATCTCATATGTTTATCACTGATATGACTTTTAACCACCTCGTTTTATTCTCGTCCCACCTCGAAATTTTAGTTTAGGTAACTTAGGATTCTATGAAGGTTATATATAATTAATTAATTAATTAATTTAAAGGAGAAAAAAAACCATACCTTAAATATAATTAAAGAACAAATTAAACCCATCATGTCACAAATTTTCCTCATTCCAAAGTTGTATAGAACGGGACAATATGTTGTTAAATCAATTTGAAAAGGGACAAATAATTTTAAAACGTTCCAATTTAGACCTTCTCGTTCAATTACATTCTAGAATTCTATTTTACAATTCCGTGAAAACCCGCCAACTTTATATCATTTTTTTTTACTAATTTTGAAACCCGACAGCTAAAATGTCAATCAAAATAGAAAACGTACCTACCCACTTTCACGTGGATATAAAACATACCATAGTTTCTCTCGTATATACAGTAGTTCAAAAGTGTCTTATGTATTGTGGTGGTCTCTTCGGTATTCGATATAGTGAAATTTGACCAAAATTTAAACATATTATACCGTTCATAATGAGAAAATACGCACGTAATTGAATCAAACATTATCGGTTCGAGAGAATTTATTTTCTTAGAGATTCCGAAAAAAAAAAAAAATGAAAGATGAATGATTGAGAAGCCGCACGAGTAGTTCATAGGATTCTCTGTCACACTCACAAATGCCCCAAACCCTAAATCCAAAAAGCAAACCCACACACACCCTCTGCTCTTCTTGTCCCTTTTTTTCTTCTTTTTCAACCCTAATTCATGTCTTTTTCCCATTACCTTTCTACGTTTAAAAAATGTTTCGGTCACAATACTCGTTCGGTTGTAGACTATTTAAAACCGTGTTTGTTTGAAATTATATATTAACGATTAACGTAATCAAATTTGACTTTGGTGGTTATTGTGACACGAGACCCAGAAAAAAAAAGGAATTACTGGTTTAGTATATACTGATCATCGTTCTACATCCGATTTAATACTCTACGTGTTTCAAGTTGGTCAACTGAGTATAACTTGTATGCTCGTAGTTCAAATCTCTAACTTGAGTACTCATTGATATTTTAACAGGTACCCACGAAAGTTTTAAATGGATAGCAACATTTCACTTTCAAAAGTAGGGTTTAAGAAGCCTTTGTTTTTGGAAGCATAAAAAACACGATCACACCAAATGGGTTTTAATTATGCTCTCGTGCTTCTTTTCTCAACAATTTAGTTCTTTATACGTAAACAAATGCAACGATCGAGTCAAAAACTTTAAGAATTTTATCATAATTATAACACTTAAACAGATAGTGATTGAGCTATCTCGTTCGATAATAGAATATATTGAAAAAGCCAAAATCTTTGGCACTTTACTTTCCTCAAGTTGACTAATTATTCAAAAGTTGATATTACAAACACAAACCCAAACCCAAAACCACACACATACATACCACTCACGAATAAAAGTTAGAATTATTACACTAAATTATCTCAAAAAATAAACATCGTTCATAGCTAATCTCCGATAATTTCGATCTACGACCCCGATTAGGGGTGATAAGTAAAGAACTAAAGTGATTACAGGAACCACTGACACAAAGATTTTCAGTCCCTATGCTCGATAGGCTCGATAGCCATAGCCGTGGCCATTCGAATTACATATCTAAAACCATCCCCATGGTATAATGAATAAAAAAAAAAAAAAAAAAAAGACGTTTACTTCTAAGATTCTATCAACATTTCCCCTGTTTTGGGGGCATGAAAATCTGAAGCTAATTTGATTGTGAGAAGAAGAAGAAAAGCTCTATATCAGGTGAAGCAAAGAAGGCAATTGGAGAATGTTTTTGCAAAGAACAATTTGAAATGGGCCTCTGTTTTTTTGGAGCTGGTGGGCAAATTTGAATCTCTGGGATCTTAAATCTATCAGCTTTTGGAGTGCTACAGTGTTCAAAATCAGAGCTTGAAGCTGGTTCATCAATGGCAGCCATGGCAGAGGAGCTTGAAGCTGCTTCTTCAATTTCTTCTCTTATTTTAGTACTCATTATGATTCTTCTTCTTCCGCCATTGTTGGTGCTGTTCTTGAGCTTCTTCTTCGTTTTCTTCAATGGAGGTGTTGGGTTTGTTCCTCGTCTTGTTCTTCCTCCTTTGGAAGCCATGGATTTACAGAGCTTCTGGGATTTCTTGCTCTGTTTCTTCCCAAAATGCTTCCTTTTTGTGAGGTTCGTCAAGAACAGAAGGTTATGGAGAAACTCTTTTGAGGAAATTGAGAGATTTGGATGGGAAGAAAGACGCCATTGAAG